ATATATATATATATATATATATATATATATATATATATATATATATAAATAAATACATATAGTTGTACAGCGCCAATTCAAAGTATGCCGGTTCAATGGGTCGAAATGTTCGGCCTGTGGTGTTGCAGCTTACTCAAGGAACCGCTCATACGAACAACTTCACACTCTACACTGAGCTTCCTTGGGTCCTCAGCAACACACCTGCCATGGCATAGTTGCATCACACACCCAAGTCACAGCTAATACACTCTGGTTAAGACTTTAACATTAGGCAAGGTGGGCAACCGTGGGACATCCCAAAGGGCCCCAATAGCTATAGATTTATTTTTACGTTTAGATATGAAAGTTATGGAATAATATTACTGTTGTAACTCATAATAGTTTTCCTATTAATAGTTAATAGTTATTCTTCTAGCATTGCCAATCCCAACATTTCCCCGTTAGAGAAAGGGTGGAAAGTAAAGCAAGACGGCGTTTGGTTTGGGGCCCCCAAATCACTAAATCGGCCCCTGAAAAACACACCCAAGGTTGCTGTTACTTGCGGTCAGAAACATTGGTGAAATATACTTCGTGGAGTTAATCACCAAATAGACGTATGAGTCACTTTGTCTGACATAACTACCACCGTTATAAAGTCTGTTCGCAGAGGCCTGAAGCCCCGCCCCCGCTGCTCCACAGAGCGATGCTCGCTTGTTTATTCAAAGATTAATATTGAGCCTGGCGGGTGTCTTAATTGCACCAAATTCCACAAAAAGCACTCCATGTGGTCTCCTTCAATACACCCACTAAGTGTGAAGTAGATTGAATGATCGGTTCTCCAGATATGGAAAGGACACACAGAAAGACAGATATCCTTTGCTTTATAGTTAGATACACATACCATCATTTCTGACATTTCTTTGAACAAGTTTTCAAATATGTGCTTCCTCGAAAACTGAAAAAATGATTTGACTTATAATAGCAAAATGTCAAACTCAATTAAAGCTGTCAGAGTAAGGAGGCAAGAATCTATTGCGAGATGAAATTAAAGGTCTCTTTAGGCTCTCAAAGGAGGTTCCTGTTGCCATTTTAAAGAACACTATTTGACAAAGAGTCGTCTTGCAGGCTTTTCTTCTTATGATTTCTGATATGTGAAAGATATTGATATCTGCTATGGCTGTTATGAGACTCTATCGCAAGGGAGAATACCACGATGTTATGCTCAAAGTGATTTTCTTTTCTACTCGGTTCTCAAAGTGACAGCGTTACAGTAAATACAAACTACTGGCTAAAGTGATGGACTGGGAAGGAGGGGCAATAAAGTTCATCAATACACATTTAGCAAACCTCTAGAACATGTATGGCGTCTGGAGGAACGGGAAAGACGGAGCAGGGAGGGCTGAAGGGTGAGAAGAGGACGACGGGTTGCAACCAGGATGTCAGCGTGAATTAGTGGATGAGACTCCCCTGTTAGCTGTGGATTGTACAGGAAATATATTGGGCAATCTAACCTGTCTGCAATTTCAGGTTTTGTGTGTGAACAAATTGTGTATTGATTCCAACCACAACTCTGAGGGGTCGAGGTCATACCAGGATCACATTGAAGTAGCAGACAGCTCACAGCGCTTTGCTTTACTTGGTGTGTGCAGAGTGTCAGAAGAGTGAAGGTGGTGTCAGAGAAGTTGTTATCCGGACGGCTGATAAAATAAATTGACTTCCAAAATAGTCTGAGGTTAAAACGAGATGATCTGCATGTGGAATTGAGTCAACTCTAGCGATGACAAGGGGAAAAACACCTGGATACGTACTTTTAGGATGATTTTTATTGCAATATGCATGATGTCATGTTGATTGCTATTAACATCATGTTGACATTTGTAACAGAACAGAAGATCAGGTCTGATAGGACGTTTGATATCAATCTCATCTCTGTGCGCTGAGTAGTGCAGGAGGTTTGTTTTTTTCACAATCATGTCAACTTTAAGTCCGTTACGAGAACACAGAAATGTGAATGCTTGGATAGACATGAGTTTAACCCCCCCCTCCCTCCTTCCTTCCATCCAAGGCACCATCATCAGGGTTGACAATTCGACACAAAAGTGGAATTACACAGATATGTATTTATCCCAAAATAATAGTAACCAGAAACACAACAAATATCCCAAAACAAAAATACTGAAAACAGGAACAAACCTAACATTAATGATATTAATAGAATTTCACAAGCATTTTATGAGAGTAAATAACATGCATATCTCTTATGTCATTCACATAGTCACTGTCAGAGTTACGTGTGTTTCCCTTTCTCAGCTAGTGCATATATATATAGACGTCCCAACTCCACTAGATATCAGTAGCAGGACTCCTTCCCTTCCAATATAACAATAGAAGATGGCATTTTTTTATGGAGGCGAGAAAGTCCTTTCCCATCCTTGACTATGTCATAAATTACAGTTAAATGGTTAAGATTCACTGTTTTTATGTTTTGTCTACACCCAAACTACCTTATCAATCACACAATGTTGTGCTCCATCTTCCTACCTGTGTGAGTTTGGTTCGGCCTCCTCCATCGATGAATTCGCAGCGGAGATCAACAGACCCTGTGGGATACGCCTCCAGCTCGTCCTCCACTCGCACTTTCTGAGCCCCGATACCTGGAGGCGGGCGAAACGGGAGACAAAGAGGGAGATTATGCATCATCCACAAAACCAATATCGTTTGAATAATTAAACAGGTTTGTTTGTATCGGAACTTAAAGAGGAACAAACAGAGGCTACGTGGGAGGAGAGAGAGAGAGAGAGAGAGAGAGAGAGAGAGAGAGAGAGAGAGAGAAACTAAAATGTTTAGGCCAAGGCCAAATTCCATATTTCGAGTTGCAATGGTAACGAAAGTGAAATAAAATGTGTCCATTCGCTCCAAAATGAAATGGGTTCTATCTTGGAGAAAGTTTAATAAAAATCAGGCCTGCAGTTTTTTCTGTGATCCTGCTGACAACCACCTTCACGTAGGTCACAATGGAGTATTAGTATTTCATTATCAATATTTGCTTTTGTTGTAGGGAAAGATTAATATGTTCTGGACGATTTAACAAAGCTATGGAGAAGCGTGAGGGAAACGGAAAGAGAAACAAAATGAGGGGAAACTAAGAAATAAAGTGAATGAAGAGAAAACAGAGAAAAGTTCTTTCAAGAAAAGGAAAGAAAGTATTTGAATGATGAGCCTTTGATAACAAGCCTCGGGCAGAGTCTTAGCCAGCTTCTGTCGGCTAGGCCCTCCTCATTACAATACAGCTCGTCTACCACAAGGCGTCACTACGGGGCGCACCTTTAGGAACACTACGGCAGCGCGACTACTTCTGCTTCTTTAATGTGTTTGAAAGTCAGTGGAAGGCACCTAGAACTCTTAACTCGAGTAGGAAAGGCAGTGATGAGAGAGCAGTGCCGGTCTGCCAAGCCTGCACAGGTTCACCTAAAACAGGTGGGTTCTGACTTAAACAGAGATAAAAGGAGGACGGTTACAGCCGAGCACCGTCTCAACACCGTGCACTACCTGCTGACCTGTGGGCTGTTTTCAGAATACTGAGGTTCAATTGGACAAGTTGAAATGACTTGTTCTTAAAATTCATCTCTCATTGTGTGATCAACAGACTTCTACTATGTGTAGAGAGCTGGGAGCCCAAATCATGTGTAAGACTTCTTTTGAACCTACATTCCTAGAGATAAGGGTTTCCAAAAGGTTCTTTCTGCGGTTCTACCCAAACCATCTGCATCTGAAGAACCCCTTTTTAAAGAAGAGGGTTTTCAAGGGCTCCTCATCTTCTTTAAGACAAAGGGTTCCCTTAAGAACCCTTTGAAAAAAAAAGTGTTGAAAAAAACACTTTTTGGAAGAAAAAGTTCTGCAATGATTTGACAGCACGGGTGACAAAAGGGAACGCCCACAACTAAGGCCACACTCAAAAACTGTGATTGTGAAGCATGATTGTTGTGGGTTGAGCTGCACCACACCTCTTTGGGAGCCTCATGAGGAACCCTGGATTGGCTTTAGATGAACCCCCTGAAATATAAAAGGTTTATCGGAAGAACACCCTGGGTTCGTTCTAGATGAAACCCTTGGAATGTAAGTCTGGTAGGTTCAGAACATTATGTCAGTTTACTGTAATGCAGCATGTAAAACAAAGAAAAGACAACACTTATGCCATATTACAACATCTAAAATCTAAGACGATAGCCTGTCTAACGATATGGATATTATATTGATATATTGTCTAGCCCTAGTTCCAGGTTCTACCGGGAATGAAAAAGGGTTCATCTATGGGGACAAGCCAAAGAACCTTATATGGTTCTAGTTAACAGCTTTATGTCTATTTTCCCTTATTCTACCTTTTTGCATAAAAAATAGAACAAAACAAACACTGCGGTTGTGATACCCTAACAAGAATCAGTCTCCCAACTGATCGTGTCATGTCTCCGTGTCCAAATACACCCAGGCTTCCACTGGATCGCAGACGGATTTGACAAATGAAAATGTTGTTGCAGAAAGTGCACTTGAGACTTTTTATCTTGAGAGCAGCATGAACCCCTGAGCAGGACACATTCTGCCAACAACATCACAAGTCTCAGATAGATACTTTAAACTGGATATAAGCCTTGACTGGTGTTCATTAAAAGAGCTGACCTGAATTGTCCCTGCCTCTCAGCAATGAGTCTTTTTATTTGGATCAGCGTCAACACACAGGTCTCAACCAATGAGACAAATCGCAGCAATTGTGCCATATATATTGTGTATGTCTGTATAGACACGCACACGTTTGCTGTATTAAATTAGTTGAAATTAATGAACTTTAATGAACTTGTAATCCTCGTCATCGTGAGACGGAGGAGAGAAAAATGCCTCGATGAGAGTAAGGAAGAAAAAAAAAAAAGAGAAAGGATCAGAGAGAGCAAAGCAGAGATGTTGTAATCCTTCCTTAATGCAATCTAGCCCAAGTCCAGCAGCTCAATGTGTTTGGCAGCTTGCAAACACAATCTATTTAAAATACTCTTTGATTGTTCCTGCCTTTGAATCCACTCATTTTGCTACAATGGGCCTCATCATCAGACCTCTTGATGCTCACTTTATTAACTCCAACATATAATGGCGCTGTGCTCTTCCCTCTCTTCCTGTCCTGCTCCTTTAACTGCTCTCTGCTTGGCACTCATGTGGTGATCCGGACCCCTGCTGTGAACCCCCCGCAGACCCGGGATCAAATCTCACTAAGGTCTTTTCTCCCCCACCTCCCCTCTGCCCTCACAGTCAGCCTCTGCGCCTGTGAAGATAAAATTCTTGTGGGGAAGCCGGCCTCTCACTCTCTCCACAAGAAAAGAGGGGGGGAGGGATAAGCGCTCGCTAACAGCTAGCTAGCCCCGGGTGGTTCCAGTGAAAAAGCCTCTTAGTGTGTGAAGGATTGATTAGGACAATATGTTACATGCCAGAGCATGGAGGTGGATGGGCCGGCTGAGGTTTAGCCCGAGAATCAGCTGTGAAAAACATTCACATTAACAAAGAATGGGGTGGGGGCATGTATGCATACAGCCTTCCCGAATGATGGCGTTGCCGCAATAGCACCCACCTTTGGTTCCCCCTCAGGTAAACCCTTAGCTCTGTCACCACGTGTGCCGTACTTTGTACCGATAGTGCTGTTAGCACTGCTAGCTGTTAGCACCGCTAGCTGCTAGCCTCCGGGCTCAGGCTTTGCCACGTTGAGAGCCGTTAAGAAGCAATCGAAATGCTTCCAATCTCGTACTACGAACCTTTAAAGGTCTCCGGGAAATAAATGCAAGTAAATGTGATGTCCTCCAAAGTGTTGGAAACACGATGTGTGTGTGTGTGTGTGATTACTGAGCATCTGAATGTGTGCGTGCATTAATCATACAATCTATGTTGTAATGTGAGTGTGTACGAGACTGATTCAGTCATTGAACCAGAGTCTCTTCCCTGAGGGGAGACAATGGGCTGCGAAACTAGTCAACCATTCCCACTGTAAGATGGAGACACACACACACACACACAGACATGCATGGGACGGAATCAACAAGAACAGCAGCATGAACTATAGATTCATCTCTCTCCCCCCGTTATTTTGCTCCCCCTTCAGTCACATTCTTCTTCTACTTTCTTATTTCTTCTCTCATGCACAAACTCACAAATTTATTCCCCTCCAATTAAACACGCAACTTCCACTATTCACAAAGCTGAAATGCGCGTGCGCACACACACACACACACACACACACACACACACACCAGACGGTCTCACCAAAGTCACAAATCACATAAGGCTTCAGGTTATTCATAGTGGTCAATAAAATGTCTTCTGTGAGGCAAAGGGGGAAATAGTGACAACAGAGTGAGAACAAAAGAGAGGAAGAATAGAGTTTGAAAGGAGCCCCGAGAAAGGAGAGGAACATGAAGAAGAATTCATGGGGAAGGGTAAATGCAACAGAATAAAAGAGCAACGCAGAGAGAAAGTCAAAAAAAGTTAAAAGTAAAGCGATTAAAGGAATGACTAAAGCAGAGAGAGACTGAAGGCGGAAACGAAGAGGGACAACCGGAAAACCAGAGAGAGTGGTGAAGAATGAAAGGAGTCCACAGAGTAGAGATGTGAGGTATGGCCATAAAGAGATGTGAGGAGGGGAAAAGTAAGAGAGGAAGGGAGCAGAGTGCATGAGACCGCATCAGAAATGATTCATTCCCCTCAGAGACTGGATCCAAAAAGCCCCACGGAGACGGAGCGCACCGACGTGCTCGCAAAAAAAATTGCCTCTTGTGGGCATTTTTTATTTTTGCATCTCAGCTAATACTCACATCTAAGTGTTTTAAACTTTTTCATATGGTTCATCCGATTTTGTGTGTTTCCATTACTATTAGGGATGTTACATTGACTTACATTCATTTCCTGGAGACTAACCCTTACCCTTCCCTGAACCTAAACCGAACCCTTACTGCAACTGTAAACCAACGTCACCCTAAAATATAAGGTTTTATGTTATGGGGACATGCATTTTTTCACCAAATGAGCAATGCTACTCTTACAACAGTCCATTGATGTTCTGGAGGCCCACCGGCCGTAGCGGGCTGTAGTTCTTCCCTGCATGGCCTTTGAATCGCCTTCTGAGGAGATAAATGGCAGACGGCTCAAAAGAGCTGCTGAGTGCGCTTCAGATCCGGCGAATATACTTGAAGTGACCACAAGAAAACTGACAACCAAAGTTCAATGACGAGACAATATTAATATCTACATTTTTCATCTGCCTCTTGATTCACAGTGAAATTAAGTTATGTACCCCCCCCCCAACTCACTGAAGCACACACTTCCTTCATTGAGACAATAATTAGAGTTCAACTCTCAGCCCTGGGAAATCACATGTAATTGTTGACTGTGGTTGGTTTTTCACACACGCACTTGACCATGTTATCAGGGAGATTGGTGTCAACGCACCGACATGATCCACATCTTTTCAGCCATTTTGCCATTATTCGCTCACAACCCCAATTGCCCCACAATTTGCAGCTCATTCTCCTGCAGAAGTCGCTGTGGAGCATCAGCTCAGTGGAGGAGGAGAGGTGGTTTAAATGAGTGGCAACACTCTGCTGGCTTGCTCTCCCCCCCCGATGAA